GGTATTTTACTCCAAGGCATCTCTTCCGATGGCTTTTAAAAACTACCCCCTGTAACGCTCAACAATATCAATTAGAAATAATACTACAAAGAGCCCATCTGCTAGATAAAAGACTTCCTAGCATAAGGGTTAATTAAAATCGACCATGTTCAGCTGAACAGTTACTTCACAAGTATATCGAGTTATTCATTAATAGTCCACGGGACACTTGAAATAACTGAATCTGTAGATTTTAACCTGTTTTATGATACAGACTAATGACAAGACATTTTAAACAGGTTCAATTTAACCAGTCTACATGCCAGCCGAGTCACAAGACTTCCGAAGCCCGTGTGCATTGCTGCCCTCAAAACCAACGATATTCTGAGTAACACCTGACTCACCTGATATGGTGACGACTGGGCCCGAATCACAACACAAATCTCATACTCCTCCAAAAGGCACCAGGATTGAGCGAGAACCCAGATTAACTACACAATATAACAGAACGCTATATTGAGCTTCCCCAGTCACCCCTTCGTTGATTTTTCAGTAGCCCGATGGTGAGCAGTTCAACCTGGATCTCTTCCTTACAGGGTATTCCTATTTTTTAAGGGATGATCCCTTGACTCCCCTGAGTTTGCATTTACTTCCCCCCTTTTGGTTGCCTCGGTTACTTCTCATCATTTCATGAGCATTGATACCCAAACAAAATAACCAAACAATGGCACTCGAAAAAACTCTTATGAGTGTGTTCAAGACTTGTCCAGAATGGTAACGTAACCCCAAATCTTTTGGGAAAATTTTATCAATTTTTGGTGAATTCAACTAACAACCCCGAAATTTCAAGTTATTTTGGAGAAGTACATAACATGATTGAAGAAAACCCAGAATTTCCCCAGTATTTTATTTACCTATGAGGAAATCTATTGGAATGAATTGAGAGACCACAAAATCAGCCGAATGTTTTGCGGGGATCATACGTAATGTACTGAAAAATAACCTCTCGTTCATCCAGTCGAGTTAGAAAACTTTACGCAACGCCGAACCTATTCCGTCATTGTTCGCACACCGTTATACAATCAATGACTAACTTATCTTGAACAATGTAAATGGTTCGTAGAGTACTTTGTGATGCATATACTTGCAATATCAAAAGCTAATCTTAACCATTGTCGTCTTCTAAATAAACTGATGTATAGTGTTACTAAGAAACTACGTGAACTCCAGCCTATGAGGAGTATTACAATATTGTAGCACAGATCAATGACTTTATTTATTTTTATAAACTTGAACATAACTAACAAATAGTGTTGTAAAACTCAGGCTTACTGTTAGTGCGCAAGGTCGTCAGGGGTTAAGACCTCTTGTGACCTTAAGCGAAAATAGTTCCAACGGTTCAATATCCAATACCAGTTGATTTCTTTGCGCTCGATTCTTGTTCTTTCGGTACGGTTCCAGGTGGTCGGTAGTATCCAATGAATTGTGGTCTAGCCACTCGATTGTCTATTTCTAGTCAGTTTGCAGTTGATTGTGAGTTTGTACGTCTCGGTTGTAGTGGGAGTAAAACGTTTTCGCCAACAGGCTTTCGTATCTAGTAAAATCAGACACCAGTACCTTCAGACAAGAATCTGGGGAAAGAGACAACCGAATCAAGGTCACGTATTTTTTATGGCACATGCACAAATTTTCTGTGTTTCGCTCATAGAAAGCGGGTTGTGATTATTATGTGGCCATAACAACTTTGTATATATGTATTGTTTCTGGATTTTCACCAGAAAAGTTACTGAATACGGTATTATCGAGAGAATGCTGGCATTAAGCTACCCATATCCAAACTCCCTGGAAAATTTCATCTATTTTGATGAGACTACTACAGTACATTTTAGGAATTTCGACTAAGAACTCCAAAATTCCCACTTTCCTGAAATTTTCCCCCGAAATAGACTGAAATTTGGAGGAAACCACCACGCTGTAATTTACTTTAATATAGTAATGAGGACAAAAATGAACCAATGATGTGCATGCATGGGAGTTTGACGCACACTATTATAATCTCTAAATCTAGACGGTTAATGGGTCCATAAATTAGAATTTAACAAGGGAGGCTAAGTTTGCAGTCTTCAGAATGAAACAAAGTCCTTTCCTTAGAAGCTGTTCACTTATCTTCTGAAACGCGAATACCATAGACAAGATAATAGTGGAAAACGTCCAAAAATAAGACACACATTGACAGCTAGGATGTCAGTTAACTCTGGATCACACAGTTAGATGCAAATATCTTCCACCAGAACCGTTATTGAGCCGCCGACTGAAGAACAACTTAATATTTTTCTACAAAATAATGTATTGTCTTTGATCTATAACCACCCCTCCCCCCCAAATGAACCACGGCTCTACTAACCGACTCGGAAACAACGCATATACACAACTAACTGCAAAATACAACAACTCAGTGGGTTGTGATTTATTTGCAACAAGGTATTTTTTTATCGTGGAATAGACTGTGAAACAGCCAGTATGTATCTGTGACGCAACCACCAAGTTTAAGGAAATAGTAACGCTGTTGTCAAACTAAAGAAACTGATTAACTAGTTCCGAAGTTCCTCCTCAATCCCGAGTCACCTTTTTTGATCCACCTAATTTCTAGACTTATCTTAGAAACTACAAACGGACTAAAAATACGTTGTACCCCATCACTATTCATACAAGAACAACCAAACAGTTATCGATTCATCCTATCCACGAACAACCCATTAACTGACCCATATATTAAAATTTATACTTTTAGTTAACTTAATATCAGAGTGATACGCTAGATGGATATAAAACCTAATATACGGAGCATAATCTTACTGGTATGCTTGTAAAATGTAGCTAGTGCAGGCAGTGTAATACTCGATACGGTGTGCAAAACAGAGCCTAGACTAAAGCACTACTAAAACATAACTCAAATGTAGGAAGGCTTAACGACACAAAAGTTGGTAGGTTGATGTGTCTGATCAGAAAATATGGTGATGGGGCAATAGCGTCAATCCACCGACGTCTGTGAGGTGGTACATTCCGTTTGCTTATTGTTCCTTACTATCCGACAGGATGTAGCTAATCAGTGATAGCGAAAATGCTTTTGAAGTCGACTATGTCTGTGACGAACTGTTAAACTGGGACGTGGTTAGCGATATCTTGAGTGACATATTAGCAAAGAAAATGAGTAAGGCATTCTGCACAGCTAGTGTTGCGTTGAAATTCTTAATCAACCCGTGATGCCCACTCAAATGAAGGATAAGTTACTTTAATTGGCCTCCCCAATGTGCATTTGTAAACTCAACTACTCCTGAGGAAATAGCTATTTTGTGCTCAATACCAGTCAACTGAACCAGAAAATGGGTGAACATCTCCAGGTATGGTTGAGAAATCGCCAGATAAAAACTGTAAAGTTTTGTCTTGGCACATTTGATTGATAGCAGTCATAATGTAGATGAATCTGATCTATTGCATACCTTCATTATTTCCCAACGGAGTTCAGTACCGTCTCTTAATCATAGAAGGAGCCATTGGAATCTGACCAGTAAACCTCAAAAATTCTAGAACCATTAATGGAAGACGTTAGGAAAAATAAAACATATCAATTTGTTTGTTCGGGATACTTTACAGGTGAAGTATTCTGGAACGCTTAGGCTGTGTGAGTGATTCATTCTAAGGTAAGTGAGTATGCGCGTTTAGGCCATACGTTCTTGCTGACTGTGAAATCTAATTTAGCAGACGCGATTCCAAAACACTGAGAATAACATTCCTCAGAATTCACTCCTAATTTCCAACGCGTACACCAGTTATCTACATTACTGGATTGTGTGCATATGTCTAATGTGTTATTTTTATAGATGACATTTGAGTCATCAGAGTTGAAGTAGGTTTTTCCCGTGTTTAAGCAACTCCATATGCTATTGATGCATATTATGAAAAGCACTGGATGCAAGACATGACCCTGCATAACATCACAGGCTATAGGTAAAGGTTTAGATAATGTGAATTAATGTTAGTAATTTGGTATCTGTTCATGTTAAAACATCTAATCCACTGCAATAGGAGGTCATTAATCCCGAAGAACTGATGTCTGAATATACTAAGCCGAGTTAATCAATATTACTTTGGGTGAATAACATAGATTTACATCATTAAATTGTTTATTGTGGGCAAACTTAAAATCTGTGAGTAACTGTGGGCCTGCTAATTGAGCAGAGTCGGACACATTTTCTAACAGTTGACTACAACATATGTCTGTTTCCGTCGAATTCCAGAAATCAGAGGGTGGTGTTCAGTCAATCAGTTTTTGGTTGATTCTCTTTATATCTGTGAGATACAAAGTAATGCAAAGACGTGTCTTACTGAACAGTACAAGTCAGATAAAAATATGTATCGACTACTGAGCTTACATAGTTTTATTTTATATGCTTTAGTCGCAAATTTAGATCTTTTATAGCTGTGATTAGCGTCAGTCCGAAGTTTTTTTAGATATCTGTGACGTAGTTCAAAAAGTTATTGTGAGCAGGCCTAGTACTTTACGAAAAGTGTCTTTCCAAATTTAGCTCGACAGAATAATAATGTCTGATGGAAGGAATGAATACGATATTCCTAAGGCACTAAGTATATGAAGTAAAAAGCTGTGGCGAAATATCAAATTTATGGAAACGGTGTCTCAATATAAGAGTTTTCGCTATACTGGATTCCTGAATTTTGTCAATATTTTGACGGAAGGCAGAGTCAACTAGAATAATGATCGCAAAAAAGTTTTCAAAGTGATTTTTGTGGGCGCTTCCGTATTCTATCCTGATTACATTTCCCTCAATGTATTTCAGTATTGATAAACTTCACTTTTCTACTCGGAAGGAGAGAATTACTCAGTCATCAATCATTTAAAGAGTTATTTAACGGATTTTACGATCCTTTTGAATTATCTCGATAGCTCTATCCATTATCTTTGGTATTAAAATAAGAATATGAAATATTTGTTTAAGCTAATCAATTGGTGTGACTTACTCAGCTACTGGTTTAATTTTTCAAGGATAACTACTGTTATGCATTACCGTTAAAATGGTTTATTTGGAACTCATAATATACTCGCTGTTGATTTTTACTTGCTCAGTAGCATGTGTTTCAAGTCCATTTAATGAAGTAAGCAGTACTTTGAGCTGTATTTTTCTTAAAAGGACTGTTATATTTTTCCTGGCTGGGTTAAATCTATAATTTTGTTCGCGATTAAGAATCTGGTTTTTGTCTAGGTACTTAAATAGCTTCTCACAAGTAATATTTTCTGTGATGCTAACAAATCTGCTAGTTAGGCTTTCAGGTCTATTGCTCTCACACCTGTTTCGAAGACAGAACCTACTGTTGAGTTCTTTCAGTCTTTTAGAAATCTACCTCGCGTTACGATTGAATTAAAACATGTGCATAAGGGCCTTACAATAAAATTTTTCACTTAATAGTCCAAAGACATCGAGTTTACTAATGATCTTATTGTGAAGAGTTTTGTATGAACTGGAATAAATGGCATTTCTATGACGTACACATTTCCAACGCAGAATACTTATTAGTTACCTTAATCGCCTCTCACCAATGATACAGTGCTACTGTCTTCCTGTATTGTTAGAATGCTGCCTCTTCTCCTAGTCCCATGGTTTGTATACAAACAAAAGCATTCTGGATATTCTATAGATTCGTTAACTAGCTTCTCACAATCTCCTGGACTTGCAAAATGTTGGAAAACAAACATTTTGGGCTTCGCGAAACTGAGATACTATTTTATCAGCCCCGAGTGTTCTGAATCTTTCACACAGACTTTGACGTAGAAGGTTATGAACCTCTTTACTGAGTCACGGTGTGGAATATTTTTGATATCTTGGTGTAGTCCAAGGAATGTTTTTGGCAGTAGATTTTGCCTACAACTTTCTGAATATACCAGAAACTTTTTTAGTAGGGTTTCCGGTTCCATTTCCCAGTCGACCTTGTGTGTCTACACCCCAAACATTTGGTCTAGCTTGAGCAAACGCATCATTGGTGGTAACAAAAAGGGAAACCACAGACTAGAGCTGCATTGTCTCTCTGACCCAAAGGTGTCACATAATCTAGGCCTAATCAGTCATAATCATAATCGGTCAATGTGAGATCAAATAAGGATGATTGGCGTCTAGTGCTTTTTTCATATGTTTCACTAGGACACATGTGGTAACCGCATCAACTAGTTTTTGTTCGATAGAATTTTCCGACCATTCAGTTCCTGATTTTTTCCATTCTACCGCAGGTGCAGTAGTCTCCTAGAACTAAAGAACAACCACTTAAGTATCGAGTGCTGAATCCGTTCAGCGAGACCTCATTAGCCTCACAGTTTTAGTTGCAATAAACCAAGCCAATCATCAACTCTTGTCCTTTGCACTTCAGGCGGTAACTAATGAACCCGCACATCTCAACTTCATGGGATATGTTAGTCAGTCAGTTACAACGTAGAACTTGGTACGTGGGTACATCAGTTCAAGTTGGCATACCACGTTGGTGCAGAGAGATGGAATTGTCGATTCAGATCCCATAGTAGTAAAAATATTAGTGGTAATAAAGCATAACGTATCATGGGACATTTTATCAATAACGACTAAGGGGATTGTATTTCTAATGAATAATGCTAGTTCTCAACCTTTACGCTTCTGGATTCTATCGGCTCCAGCTTTTTCAAAATCAAGTTTATTACTGTCAGTCACTGTAACGGTGATAACATCCACATTGATAAAGTCTATATGTACATCATTCTCGAATCACATGTCGAGGAAGCTCCGAAAACGTGTGTGGCAGTCCAGAAGACCATTTAAATAGGTTCGTGATGCACCAAAAATGGCTTTTGAATGATTCTCTGTTTAAGCCTCATCACATAAAAACTTGAAATTCTAGAGTCTTTTTTGCCCGCATCTAACCCTAGTTTCAGTTCTTTTTCGTCCTAGTTCTCTAACACGATTAGCGAGCGATAAGTCTTAACGGAGAAAAACTCCTTCACTCTTTAGTTTATGTTCATTTTGTAGTAATAAGTCCCTTTCACTGGGAAATTCGAATACCACTTTTAGCAACCTAGTTTGATTGCCTTGTGAGTCCATTAGGCTTTCAGGGCTATAAACTTTCACCAAGGTGATCCTATGGATATTTTTAGGCATCATCTGATTTAGTAGACCTTTAATCAACGTAACGGTATGCTTAAAGCAAAGACTTCAAAAGGTCCTTCCTGGATTGTAGTGTATGATTTGTTTGATCTCCTCTGAATACACACTGTGTCCTCGATAAGTTGTTTGCATTAATTAATCTAACTGTTTACAGACTCACTCTGTACGATATTGTAGCTGCCACAGTAATTTGAAAAGTAAAGTTATACTTCATGATTTAGTAATATAGTTTTCCGTATAGTCTTTGCTTTCTCATCCTGCATAGCTAGATGGAACAATTGTTCAGAAGTTATTCACTTTCAAAACGTAATATAACACTATTCTTAAAAATCACTGGCTGAGGAATATCTTATCAGCTTCAGACTTAATAGTTGAGATCCGTTCAATTACGTCGATCAGTGTTCACAAATCTCGGTTTAAAATGACTCAAAACCAATCACAGCGGCGTATGTGGTATAGCAACGTGAACTGATGTGTGTACATACGAGGTTCTACGTTGTAGCTGACTGACTGACAGCGGCTTAGATGCTTTCACTTTATCATTTTGATCTCGAGTTTAAGTATTCTTTACTCTTGAACCATATTCTTAATGCTTAATTTTCCTCATTCAATTTTGGATACTTTGATGTTTATGCTCTTAATTTTATCTCCTTGTGGTAATTTAATATGAACACTTCTATTTATGTCAGCTATTCAATTCTAACTGGTTGACCTTTGAAAATACAGTCTTGCGTATAAATATCCGCCTTCTTGTAGCCATAACCAACTACCAAAACTCTTCATATTGTTCTTAATATGCACCTTAAGCTAAAGCGGTAGTAGATACAATGTTGACCCTTTTAAAGAATACTAGTCACTAGATTCACAGCTATCTGATGAATAAATACATTTATATATCATAAATTAAATGTTTTGCCGTCTAAAATATTTCAGCTGGTTGAAAGTTTTGAGGGCACCTATTTTTAGAACCTGATGAATCGATTATCAGGTTTTTGGTTAATTTAACCCTTTTTTCAAGCCGTTTTAACCCTTCTAACAGTTAAAATACTAAAAATTTTTATTACTTTGGAAACGTTTATTGATCTCGTTATCTGGATTACTTATCATTAATAAACTGATTTCTTTTCGGTCTAAAAAAATACGTCTGATGGCAAAACCAAGCATTGGTGTTATCAGGTTACATGAAACGTTTCTAATCATAAATATTAAAAGTTCTAGAGTTGATATCATACAATTATATGATCAGAATTTATGCAGTCAAAGTTTTGATATGAATCTTATAAGGAGGAGTGTGCTTAACTAAGTATTTCCAACTAAATAAAACTGAAAATATTTGCCTAGTGGTTCGTCACAAACTTTGATCACAATGATTCCTTTCTATCTAAACTATCTACCTTGTTAAGGTCCGCGAGATGATGGTGAGAGATTTTGAATCACATGGTACAAAACAGTTTGCAATCGTGCAGGTGCATCCACTCTCTGTGTACTCTTAAATTTTCAATTAAATTTTCCAATGACCTTATTTCTTTTTCTAAATATTTATTTCACTGGATTATACTTCTTAACTAATTTCTTCATACACTAATTTTCTTCCATTACCGCTAATGCTTCTACTACCTCTAATATTATGAAATTCGATTTGATAATTTGATCTCTGTGATTTAGCAACTTGAACTAATGTACGTGCGTATGTACGAAATTCTACGTTGTTACTGACTGACTGAAGGCGTAGTTTTACAACACTATCACTTTACTTGATCAAATTATCACTTCCTTTTTTTAGAAACTTTTATATTCTTCATTGCAACTCATGGAATACGATTAACGAAGACTGTCCTAATTGATTTACAAATCTAACAATCTTGATTAACATTTTTAATTCATGGCTTTCTTTTTTTTTCAATTCAACAATTGAATCACATAAATAAACTAAATGTGTATATAAATATCATTATTATAGAGCACCGCATAGATGTACTCTGCCTTAAGTTCTCATGCGCACACGGGATTATCGTGTAAGACCGTCTTAATGGTCTATATTTAAGTTTCTGTTGATAGAAAGTATCCGAATGAGTAGTACATAACTCATTAAGCATGTGCATTTCAGTTAAATGTAGAACTTGGACGTACGTACGTATATACAACTGACTGAAGTAATAATAGTATGATGCAGCTAGTTTTATGCTACGAATTATAAATATATCGCGATAGTTTAACTAAAATACATATTCTCCTGATTATGTTTCGATTTGCTATTCAATTTTTAATCAAGTTGTTACGCATGCACGTAAATACGTCAATGTGATACGCTTGCACTATTACGAGTTTACCTTAGTCAGAAAACGAGAGCGAGGATCGAGGATCCGGCAACACAACATGCTACTCTAATCCGATTGTCCCAACCACCATTGAATAAAAGAAGAAAGTTTGAAATGAACTAGAACCTGTATTCGACAAACACCCAGAAAGTACGAGGTCCGAGTCCAGCAGAGAATCAGGATCCCGGACTAGGGATCCGGGTCCGGATCATAAAACGTTACAGATAAAAAAAAATATTTATCCATTTAGGTCGAATCTGTAACAGCATCGAAGTCTGTGACATTGACAGTTAACGCGACCAATAAGAAACAACATTTAAAGTGACATTGAAATTCAGGACGGCCAATAAGAAACAACTTTGAAGTACGTGACATTGATATCTAGGACGACCAGTAGGAATCGACCAATAGAATTAGACTTACAAATAATTCTTTTAGGATATTGGATGAATATCCTAACACAAACAAATTCAGATAATTTATAAAATCATGTTCCCCATTATCCAAAAGATAATGTTGAATATTTTCCTTTTAATCTAGCATGATATCTTACATCGTGAACTAATAACATCAGATTATATGTTAACGAAATTTCAAAATCGTTCAGTTACAAAAAATAGTCTAGAAGAAATTTTCAACCGAATCAATATTATTCGTGCAGTTGGTAGCCCTGGTCATTTGAAAGTTCGAGAAGTGAGCATTTTTTTTTATACAATTCTTTAAATATTGAAAATAAAAAATTAAAGTTTATTACAGATTATTTAAAGAAACATGATTGGAAAGTTGATTTAGATACTTTTGAACAGAAAACAATTATTGGTGTTAAAACATTTCACAATATTATTAGTTATAGAGAAAATTCCAATTATACCAAATATTTAATTTTGGCTTGTCATTATGAATCGAAGCTGATGCCGAATTTTGTTGGATCCACAGATTCAGCAATGCCTTGTTCAATGATTTTGAAAATTGTTGATTTATTAAATTATGGGATTAAATCATTAAAGGTATGAAATTATTATTTTTTTATTTTTTTTTTGTTGTTTATTTGAAATTGACTGAAGAAATCTCGGCGCGGATACAGAAAGCTTGATTGTTGCGTCACTTATGGCGTAGGCGTGATATCCGTTCGCTAACCAAAGGACAGGTGTACTGCGCAGCAGTTCGCTCCATTCTCATATATGGCTGTGAAACATGGCCGTTTAGAATGGAAGATGTTCGTAGGTTACTAGTATTCGATTATAGATGTTTAAGAAGCATTGCTCGTATATCATGAGACAACCGAGTAAGCAATGCTGTTGTTAGGAAACGAGTACTAGGTAAGGACGGCAGATCAGTTGAGATGGTTGGGAAATGTGCTGCGTATGCCTAACCACTGACTGCCTCGACGAGCTATGTTTTGTGGTGTAGGAATAGGTTGCAAGAAAGCTAGGCGCGGCCAGACCAAAACATGGCACAAATCCATGAAGTCAGTGACAAGTGGATTGAGTCATGTTGGTAGATATAGGCTACCTGATTGGGGTCCGCGAGACGATAGTAATCGATGGTTAGAGATCTTGAACGACATAGCTCAAAATCGTTTTCAATGGCGCAAGTGCATCCATTCTTTGAACTCTCTCAAATCCTGATGTTCTGGATTCGTCAGCACCTTTTCCTTTGTCTTTCTAACCTTATCTCACTGAATTATACTTCTTGAATAATATCTTCAAATCCTAGTCTTCTTCATTACCATTAATAACTGTACTATTTTTATCACTATGGGATTTGATTTGACATTTGCGTCTCTGTGGTGATGTGGTATGTCAACCTGAACTGATGTACATACGTACGAAGTTCTACGTTGCAACTGACTGACTGACTGACTGAGTTTCGATTTGTTTAAACTGTAAAAAAACTATTGATCAGTTTTTTTTGGACGAAATAAAGAGGATTTTCTTGAAAATAAATAATAACAAGGAATCTAATTTTAATCATAGACCATCATTGGAAACATGGAAGCACTCACTGTGCGATGGTTTTGTTCTATAGTAGGCGACTCACCAGCGGCGCACATCTACGACCCTCCGTATGTGTAGATCGGAACCGAGACCTTCTGTCTTGACCACTGAGTCGATATTAACGTCTAACTTCAATAAATTCACCTTTCTCATGATTGTCTAACATAGATCACTTTATAATTTCAATTAAAACTCAACAATAGCCACAATCGTATAGTAACAAATGTTATTCAAGTACACTTCTTTGGAAGGTACTAACAGAGTTCTTCATGAAACATGCCTTGTTTAATTAATAATAATAACATTTTAACTTACATAAATAGAATATATCAGAAATGATAAAAATGTTTCTCAATTTACAGTCAATCAAGTTCGATGAAATTTCCATTGTGTAGTAGTGGATGCTACTGACAAGGTGGCATATAATATAGTAGTATACAATGGAAAGTCGTGTAGATGTTGCTGCAAGAGAAAACAATGTTTAGAGATCGAAATGTATGACGCAATTAGTATATTTTTTAAAACCAGGACAGAAATGTGGGAGAAGACTTGCTTCTATTGCAAACGAATATCCGTAGGTTATTAGTATTCGATTATAGATGTCTTCGAAGCATTGCTCGTATATCCTGGGACAGCCAAGTAAGCAATGATATCGTAAGAAAACAAGTACTAGGCAGGGATGGCAAATCAATATATGAAGTATTGAAACTTCATCATTTGAGGTGGTTGGGACATGTGTTACGAATGCTTAACCACCGACTGCCTTGACAAGCTGTTTTGTGGTGTAGGAATGGGTTGGAAGAAAGCTAGGGGCGGCCAGACTAAAACATGGTAGAAATCCATTAAATCACTGACAAGTGGACTGAGTCATGCTGTTATGTGTCGACTACCTGGTTGGTGTCAGCGAGACGAAAGTCACCAATGATTAGAGACCTTAAATGATATGGCTCAAAATTGTTCGCAATGGCGCAGGTGTATCCACTCTTTGTGTTCTCTCTAATTCTAACCTTCTAAATTCCTTATCATTTATGTCTTTCTCTTTCTAAATGTATCTCTATGAATTATACTTCTCGAATCATATCCTCGAACCCTAACCTTCTCCATTACTGCTAATACTTCTACGACCCATACCACTATTAGATTTGAACTGACAGTTGCTTGTCTATGCTAATGTATGATATGGCAACCTGAATTTATGTACTGATGTACGAAGTTCTATGTTCTGACTGACTGACAAACATAAATCAGTCCACTTGTCAGTGAATTCATGGATTTCTGCCATGTTTTGGTCTGGCCGCCCCTAACTTTCTTTCAACCTACTCCTACACAACAAAACATCGCTCGTCGAGGCAGTTGGTAGTTAGGCATACGTAACACATGTCCCAACAATCTCAATTGATGAAGTGTCACTACTGCGTCTATTGATCTGTTATCCGTACCTAATACCCGTTTCCTAACAATATCATTGCTTACTTGATGGTCTCAAGATGTACGCGCATCGCTTCGAAGACACCTATGGTCAATAATCAGTAACCTACGAGCATCCTTTACTCTTACTGGCCATGTATCAGAGTAGGACGGAGCAAACTACTGAGCAGTAAACTCGCCGTTTGGTTAGTGGATGGATATTTCTCGTGCACCGTAAGTGATGCAAGTTAGTTACAACCTTCTGTATCCGTACCGAGATCGTTTCAGACACCAGGCACTGATGAGACCTCCAAGATAAATGAAGTAGTTAACACGCTCAACTACTTTACTCTTTATCACTAGTCCAGGTACCGATACAAGCCAATCTTCAAGCAACATTTTGCATTTTGAGTGGGAGAATTTCATCTCAACCATGCCTTCATTGTTGTTTAAGATAATCAAAAGACCCTGTATCTTGCCATATCATTATAACGATATGGTCTTTCGTGAACCATTTCATAATTTTAAATAAATAAAGCTTCAACTAAATGTTATTCTACTTAATTACTTATTAACTTTCACCTGTTACCGCCAATGGAGAATATGCCGCCAACGAGCATTCTCTAATCCGCCCCGTCCTTGGCCCTTTTTTGTATTTCTGTTCAATAGTTGTTCATTCTTCTCATGTCTGTCTTCATTTCTCAGCTCAATGTATTCCTAGGCCTTTCTCTTTCCATTTGACCTTGAGGGTTCCAAGTGAGGGCTTGTCTTGTGTGATGCTGTTGGGTGCTTTTCGCAACGTGTATCTTATCCACTCCCAAAGCTTCTACCCAGATTTCTTCCTCCATTGAAATCTGGTTTTTTCTCTCGCATAGTAGATTTTCTACTTACTATCTTAAAAGAAATTTGTACAAATCTTTGCAATGATGCAGTTAGTATTTAGGAATAAATTTAAATGATTTTAACTTTTTCTAATTGTCAATAAATCTATTTTCTTCTGCATAATCATTTCTCTTTAATTTATAGAATTCTGATATTGGCTTAAAAGTAATATTTTTTGATGGAGAAGAAGCTTTCAAACAATGGACACATAGTGATAGTTTGTATGGATCACGACATTTAGCTAAAAAATGGAGTTATCCATTATCTGTTACATCTAATGAAACAGAGTTGAGTAAAATTGTAAGCATTAAAAAAAAATCATACAATCATGTTTACATCATATATGATAGATAATGTTTAAGATTGCAATTGATCAGTGCCTTTTAGCATATGTAGCTAACAGTGTGGTGCGAGCTACTTATAAGTAGTATATGACGTGAGTGTCAACTTAATGTCTGGCAGCAGAAGATGGGGGAAGATCAAGAAAGGAGGAAGAGTTAGAACACAATGGAATTTGTATGAAACGAACGCATGAATAGTGACAATGGATTGATGTTTTGCAACAGGAACAACAGTCCAGTTCGATATGATGAACTGATATTTTGCAAATTAACAATTTACGATATGGTTTTCCAATTTTACTTAGTAACTCTGTAATTTTCGTTAAATACAATTCGGTTGCCCCACCTGTGTTCTCGTTCACTAGAACAGTACTGTGTTCCAGTTCTGGAGTGAACATCATCTCAAAAAATGTAGGCACACCCAGCAAGCTGATGAGTCCTAAGAAAGGACGATGCGTGCGTCCTAGATTTTTCACTGCTAACAACTATCCATCTTTACTTATAGTTAGAAATTGTTTCTAATGTGAACTAAAAGAATTAATTAGGTAATTATTGATATTCTTAGTTATCTAAGTCCTTACTAATGATTCCATTGTAACGAGTAAATGTATGATGGATGATCTAGACTGCGCAGATTATCTGGCTCTTCTATTGCACACGCACGCAACAAAAAATGCAAGCGAAGACGACTAGTGTAGCAGCAGCTTCAGAAGCAGTAAGTCTCAACATTCACAAAGGGAAAACTAGATTCTCGGATGCAACACAATATGCAGTGACCAAATCAATCTTGATGGAGATGCGCTGGAGGGCGTAAAAACTTGTACATATCTAAGAAGCATAATTGATCAGCGCACGGTGGATCTAACGCATATCTGAAGGCGCAGATTAACAAAACAAATGCAGCATTTCTACTAATGAAAAACATCTTGTCCTATTATGTGACTCATGAGCAGTGCGTATTTGCGACCTCACGCATGAGAATTTAACTCAGTACATCGAATCTCACGTGTGAGCTTTTAACCTCTAGACCACTGAGCTGGCATCCAACGTCAGTCAGTCCACGGAATTGCGCAACCATAATCCATAGTTTTCGGTGGGTAACTGCCTCACACCTGGCACGCTTGAACTCCAATGGTTACGGCTTCTCACTAGAACTCCGAGAATTTTGTCACGAAGCTAGTCACTAGTAGGTATTTGATAATTGTCAGTATAGGGTTGCAGAGATTGTTGAGCTTTATTAAAATGAACTGATCAGTGTTCAAACACCTGTTTAATTCTAGTATGTGACTCATCAGCCGGTTCAATAGTTAAAAGTTTGTACGCAACACCAGAGATCCTTAGCTGGACTACCGCTTGTGAGCTCTTGAATGAGCACTGCTGATGAGTTCCATATTAGGACGAAACGACTATTCAATGCTTTCAGGTTTCTAATGGTAGTACAACAGTGGCAAATTCTTGATTTTAATCAAAACATACATATTAACTTATATACTTTCTTCTCAGTTTATTGATTAATAACGTAATAAAATAAACTATTTGACCGTCTTTACGTCAATTCGTAAACTATTCAACAATAAGCTATGAATTAGCTTATACCAGAAATTTGAATAGCATACATTCAATGCAATGTCAATGTTTAATCACAACACATTCCTTATTGATTATTCCGTAATGTCATAATATGCTGTTTTTATTCTTTTCACTTTTTTTTTCTTCAAAAAAAAACAAACTTATGATAGGATCTTCTTGTTTTATTGGATTTACTCGGTGCAAAACATCCTCATATACCAAAGTATCGTTATGAAGATAATGGAAGTTTTGATCTACTTAGTGAATTAGGTAAGGCTTACATGATGTGATTGTTATTTATTTTTGATAAAAAACTGTCGTTCCGTTGTAAATGAATAATAGCTTTACAACATGGGGGGGTTTGTAAAAAGTTTTCATTACAGAGTTATGGGTATTGTTGTTTAAAAACCTGAAAGCACTGAACGGCCGTTTTATCCTGGTATGCAACTCTTCAGAAGTGAGCATCCATGACTCTACAAATAGAAATCGAACCCTGGATCTTCGGTCTCGAGCGCCAAAGCCTAATCTTTAGACCATTGAGTCGGCACCCAATCATATTCATTTCTGACAGACAGACAGATACAACACAGAACTTCGTAAATAAGTACATCAGTTCAGGTTGCCATACTACGTCAGCACAGAGACGTAACTGACAGTTCAAATCGAAGAGTGATAGCGATAGTAGAAATATTAGCAACAATGGAGAAGATTAGGGATCGAAGATATGATTCAGTGAGAAAAATTTAGAAGGAGAAAGATAGAGAATATGAAGAATGCAGAAGCTTAAAATTTGATAGAACACAAAGAGTGGATGCACCTGCGCCATTGCAAACGACTGTGAGCCATGTCGTTCAAGGTCTCTAACCATTGGTGAATTTCGTCTCGCGGACCCCGACCAGATAACCTACCTCTACCAACATGACTTAGTCCACTTGTCAGTGACTTCATGGATATCTGCCATGTTTTGGTCTGACCGCCCCTAGCTCTCTTCCAACATATTCCTACACCACAAAACATAGCTCGTCGCGGCAGTCGGTGGTTAGGCATGTCTCAACCACTTCAACTGATGAAGTTTCACCACTTCATCTATTGATCTGTCATTATTACCTAGAACTCGTTTCCTAACGATTGCATTGCTTACTCGGTTGTCCCAGGATACACGAACAATGCTTCGGATACACGGATGATCGAAGACTAGTTACCTACGAAAGTCCTCTACTCTTAACGGCCATGTTTCGCATCCGTATAGTAGGACAGAGCGAACTGCTGCGCAGTTCATGTTCGTGTTCATGTCTAATTCTGATCAATCCAAGGTTTTGCTCAACCTTACCCATTGTCTTCGTTAAGTATCTACTTACACCTGACAGATTTGAGCTCGATTAGTCACGTCTTCTCTCTAGACACTCCGAATATTTCCTCACGACACTAATCACTAGTGCGCACAGTTTAAATACGATTTTTCATAAATAGATTTACTCTTTTTTCGTACAATAATCAAATTTTCAATTTAATAGGGAAACAAAGTTCACAGTTGTATAACTTACAACCATTAAAAGAGTCAGTCAGTCAGTTGCAACGTAGAACTACGTGCGCATGTACATAAGTTCATGTTGCCATACCACATTAGCACAAAGATGCAGATGTCAAATCAAATCCCATAGTGATAAAGATAGTAGAGGTATTAATAGTAATGAAGAAGATTAGGGTTCGAAGATATTATTCAAGAAGTATAATTCAGTGAGATAAGGTTACAAAGACAAAGGAAGAGGTGCTGACGAATCCAGAACATCAGGATTTGAGAGAGCTCAAAGAATGGATGCACTTGGGCCATTGAAAACGATTTTGAGCCATGTCATTCAAGGTCTCTAACCATTGGTGACTTTCGTCTCGCGGACCCCAACCAGGTAGTCTACATCTACCAACATGACTCAGTCCACTAGTCAGTGACTTCATGGATTTGTGCCATGTTTTGGTCTGGCCGCTCCTAGCTTTCTTACAACCTACTCCTATACCACAAAACATAGCTCGTCGAGGCAGTCGGTGGTTAGCCATACGTAACACATGTCCCAACCACCTCAACTGATGAAGTTTCACTACTTCATCTATTGATCTTCCATCCTTACCTAGTACTCGTTTCCCAACGACAGCATTAAAAGAATGGTTGCTCTGGTTGTCAGAAGAGGCCCCGTGACTTCCGAGGGAACTTGGCTTTTATCACGAGATGTCATAATTCTTCTTCGAACTCCCAGGGCAGAGTTAGAATGGTTTGAATTATTTATTCTGGTTAGCGTGTTTTTGGCAAGCTAGTTTTTTTGGTTGGGATGGCGGTGCCAACCCCCTCCTCCTTAATCCGGGCTTGGGACCGGCAGTCGCCCTGAAGAGGGTCTACAGGCGGAGTTATATCAAGTTATTCTTCACCTTAGAAGAAGAAGCCTGAATTAGATTGTTTCATGAAACATCATTCACTGTATATTGTATTTCAATTAATGAGAATTTTATCAAGATTTATATTTTTCTGTTGTAAATATTGATTTAGATAATTATTAGTTACGAAATTATTCTGTTTTTTGGGTTTTTTTTCTATAATTGCGTTAAACTGTAAAAATTATAACTAAAGTTGAAAGTATTGATCAGTTGAATTTCAACACATTCAATTAGTACTTACTTACTTACTTACGCCTGTTACCCCCAATGGAGCATAGACCGTCCACCAGTAGCATTCTCCAACCAACTCTCTCCTGGGCTTCCCTCTCTCCAGTTCTGTCCAATGTTTGTTCATTCCTCTCATATCTTTCTCTATTTCTCGGCGTAGTGTGTTCGTTGACCTTCCTCTTTTCCTTTTGCCTTGAGGGTTCCATGTGAGGGCTTGTCTCGTGACGCAGTTAGGTGCTTTCCGCAATGTGTGTCCTATCCACTTCCACCGTTTCTTCCTGATTTCCTCCTCCACCGGAATCTGGTTTGTTTTCTCCCACAGTTCGTTGTTGCTGATCGTTTCTGGCCAACGAATCCGAAGTATTTTGCGTAGACAACTGTTAATAAACACTTGTATTTTCTGGATGATGGCTTTGGTAGTTCTCCAAGTTTCCGCTCCATACAGTAGAACTGTCTTGACATTTGTATTGAAAATGCTGATTTTGGTTGGTTGGTTGTTTGGAGTTCCAGATATTTTTCAACTGTAAAAATGCAGCCCTTGCTTTGCTAATCCGCTCCCTCACATATGTATCGGATCCACCTTGATTGTCGATGATGCTGCCCAGATATGTAAAGGTGTTAATGTCCTCCAAGGCACATGTTGTGTTGCATCGGAGAATTTCGCTTTTTCCTTTATTTATGTTGAGACCTACAGCTGCTGCAGAGGCTGCTGCTACACTGGTCGTCTTGCATTAAATTAGTATGTCAATAATACTATTTCAGAAAATGTGTACTTCTGATTCAAACTCCATTTTTAGCTTACCGCATTAACCGCGTTGCACAGTTGAGTAGTTTCTGCAGATTTTACATAAGTGTACATACATAATTCTGTTCTAAGTAAATGAATTGCACTATTATTATTATTAGTATTATTACTGTTATCGTTGTCATAATTTAGATCTCGTCAGAGGTCATGAGCGTGGTGATGGTGTCTCGTTCTCTTTCAGCTGGATGTTTTGGTTGTAGAGTTTTCATTGTTATACTGAGAACATCATCATCAACACATAGGATTGATTGAAATAACAAAGGAAGAAAAACCAAATATCATCTACAAAATAAACAACTGCCCAGACTGTGAAAAACACTACATAGGACAAAGTGGACGTCCGCTTCAGCTTCGCCAGTGTGAACATTAATTAACAGTCGAACGCCACGACAATTCTTCGCTTCTAGCAATACACACCGACAATTATGGACACACATTTGATTGGAACAGTGTGGAAATACTGGGTAGGCGGAGGACAAAGAAAACTAGAGAATTTTTAGAAGCTTGGCACTCAGGTCAATCAGTAATCAACAAACACATTGACATTGACCTAATTTATCAACTAATCAGAAAAATCATAGGTGACATAGGATCAAGAAACACATCAAAAGGGGAATAGAATCAAAATAAAGGTGAAAACAACGACAGGTTGAAGGTCAACAGCAACCAATTAAGATCGAGGTTAGCAGAACAAGCTACAAGTCAAACATGGAGAAATTCGAGTGCTTCACTTCTTCTATCTGAAGTTTGTGCTGATGATGTTGTTCAGTAGAAGAACAATAATGAAAGCTCCACAACCAAAACAACCAGCTCAGAGAGAACGCAACACCACCACCACAATCATCTACCTGAACTACAAACTTTCTCCACCATCTCAAGGTCATTTGCATGAACAATTGAAGAAACTTCCTGTACACTCAAGCAGTTGCTTCATTACTCTCTGATTATTCTGTGATTCTCTAAATGAGATTATTGTGTACTGAAAAAAACATCTTTCACTAAATCGAATACCACATAAATTAATCTTGTTTCAACACAGTATCTCATCAAGTACATAAATACATACTTTTATAACTATCTGAAAAACTAGTTTACTCTAATTTTTAATCACTGAATTGAAAACTTAGTAATCAATAATTCACAAGAATTTTATTAGATAAATTCTAAAGTGATCATTGTTTATTTAATCAAGTAAATTGAATGAGTTAATTGATAAAATCGATTAACGATTGCATAATCTCAAGCTGATGATCATAATTTTAATGATTAAATTAAATAGTGAGTTGGGTTTTTTTTAGTTCACAATCCAATAGCACAGAAATGTTTTTTTAACTATATGTAGTTAACAGTTAATTTAATATTATTGTATTGATACTGTGGTGCGAGCTACTTATAAGTAGTATATGACGTGAGTGTAAACGTAATGTCTGGCAGCAGAAGATGGGGGAAGATCAAGAACGGAACAGTTAGAAAACAATGGAATTTGTATGAAACGCATGAATAGTGACAATGGATTGATGTTTTGCAACAGGAACAGTCCAGTTCGATATGATGAACTGATATTTTGCAAATGAACGATTTACGATATGGTTTTCCTATTTTACTGAGTAACTATGTAATTTTCGTTAAATACAATTCGGTTGCCCCACCTGTGTTCTCCTTCACTACAATACAACTCACTTACAAAGTACAAATTAGTATAGTTTAATCTGAGCTGCACTTTATTATATTAGTATGAGTGCTTTGAGAGAAAGGTTGATTGTAGCAATAAGAGAAATATTAAGGAATGACGAAAGGATAATCTCGAGCGCTGCTAGAAGTGTAAATATAATAGTTGTCCAACGGCGGTTGTCCTCATCGTCAGGGTGTACTACGTACAGACAGACGTAAAAAGGAAACTGGTTTAATGGTGGTTGTAGCAACTCGGACGTGTGTCTCCAGACCCAGATCCCTAGATCAATCAGAGTTAGACATTAACACCGTTGGATGCCGGCCCAGTGGTCCGATGGTAAAGCGTTCGCCTACAATGCCGAAGTTTCCAGGTTCGAATCCTGCAAGGAGCAGGAGTCGTGGATGCGCACTGCTGATGAGTCCCATACCAGGACGAAACGGCCGTCAAGTGCTTCCAGGTTCCTAGTGGTGGTCTAACAATGATTGATTGATGATTTCAAATGTGTAAAAATGATATTCACTTGCGGCTAATTACACGCTATCGTTTTGCGAGTAATTCTTACTGTATTAGCACCATACTTTCAATGACTTTTCCCAGAAGACCATACATAATACGTGGGTCAAGGTGAGATGTGCTATAATTTTAAGCTGAATGTATCTCAACCCCTTCGATTGTGGGAAGACAGCATCGTTGCTGATATTGGTTGTTTAAAGGAGACACCATCATACTGCCGACACACTTCACCCTCAAACTTCGCTTCTTGCCTTCAGATTCCCAAACTGAAGTTAGGTGAACTAAGGTTCAAACCTATACTCTCTGGCTTGTAATCCGATTTTTTTAGCTGCTAAATTCAATTTACAGTAACTGAAACTTTATGTTCTTTTGTTATTTATTACCAAGTAAATAAATAAAACGGCAGCTTCCTTCAAAATATTGATTTTATTTTTGGAATTTTGTTAACGCATGAGAATTCGAATTGAAATAGTTAACCGCCCTGATTCATGACATTAAAGTTATTATTCATTTAGTGCGATAAAAACAATTTCATGCGAAATAACTTTAAAAATTATAATGATCAATAGAAACTAATTGGTTCTATTTACCTTCACCTGTTATTCTTCGTGGAACCATAGATCGCTGGTCAGAATTCTCCAACTAACTCTGTCCTCTACTCTCCTTACGTATGCCCAACCACTGACTGCCTCAACGAGCAATGTTTTGTGGTGTAGGAGTAGTAGGTTGGAAGAAAGCTAGGGGAGACCAAACCAAAACATGGCTTAAATCAATACAGTCACTTACAAGTGGACTGAGTCATGTTAGTATGTGTCGACTACCCAGTTGGGGTCCGCAAGACGAAAGTCACCAATGGTTAGAGACCTTGAACGACATGGCTCAAAATCGTTTGTAATAGCTCAGGTGCATCCACTCTTTGTTTTTTCTCAAATTCTAACCTTCTGAATTCCTCATCATTCCTGTCTTTCTCTTTCTAACTTTCTCTCACTGAATTATACTCTTATCTTCTCAATTACTGCTAATACTTCTACTATCGCTACAACTGCGGGATTTGAACTGACAGTTGTGTCTCTATGCTAATTTGTGGTATGGCGGCAACGTGAACTCTGATGTACATACATACGAAGTTCTAAGTTGTAATTGACTTACTGACTGACTGTTCACAATTGCTATTCCATTCTTTTAACGTTTACCTCCATTTCTCGGTTCCAATGTATTCTTTAATCTTCCTCTATTCATTTGTCCTTCAAGATTACGTGTGAGAGTTTGTCTTATCACTCAATGTGGATAATTCTCCAATGTGTGTCCTATCCACCGCTAGGGGTTTTTTTCCTAATTTCTTCTTCAACTGAAAGCTGGTTTATTCTCTCTCATCAAATTGATTCTAACCATTGAATATTGAATAATATTGAACATTTGTCCTTTATCGTTTAGTCTACAATGGAATTTCTATTGTTTTACATTTAAAAACTAGAAAGAAGAATGAGATTTTTTCACCTCTTAAAATCATCCAGTGTGAATAATCAATCTTATTTTAGTGGTAATCTACATTATCAAATTGAAGATGATCATATACCGTTTGTAGAAAAAGGTTAGTGAGCAGTTTCGTTTGTTTGTTTTTTTTTAAGAAAAAAATATATAATAATATTGATTGATTATATTATTAATCGCAATTGCATGAAGTCATTGACGAATGGACTTAGCCACGTCGGTAGTTGTCGACTACCTGGTTGGAGTCCGCGAGATGATAATGATAATCAATGGTTAGAGACCTTGAATGACATGGCTGAGAATCGTTTGCAATGGCGCCGGTGCATTCATTCTGTGTGTTCTCTCAAATCCTAATCTTCTGGTTTCTTTAACCCCTTTAGTTTTGACTTTCTAAACTTTTCTCACTGAATCATACTTCTTGAATAATATCTTCTAATCCTAACCTCTCCGATTATTTTTAATACCCTTACTAACTCTACTACTACTATTGGATTTGAATTGACAGTTACATCTCTGTGCTAATGTGGTACGGCGACATGAACTGATGTACTTACGTACGAAGTTCTACGTTGCATCTAATCTGACTGACTGAATCACAATTGACTATGATCATCACTGTATGCCAATTACGTCCCAATGACCCAGGTTAAATTCCTGCGTAGAACAGAAATTAGAAAGAAAAATGGAGATTGTGATTATCATATATTTGTTGGCGATCTCATGGTGTCGAAATATTACCGAGATCGTTCCATAGTTTACAGGTGAGACTATCGTGTGTACGTGAACAAGGTCAAGGTCACAGACATTCGAAAGTAGGGATTACGGTACAGAGATAAACAAAATGGTATAGTAAAACAATTACTAATACAATTGGTTATAACAATAAATGTTTCTATTACACTAATCGCGTTCTCTGCATAAAAGTATATCCTTACAATATATAATGGGATGATAGTTGGTTAGTTATACAAAGATTGTACATTGTAGTTTTGAAATCAATGGATTATTATATCACTTAAGTTTTTAAGCCATTTAATTAAACAGAGTATATTGGCTAACTTTTCTCATGTTCCAATTGAACAGGCCAAGAGTTGCGTACTGTATAGGCTTTTCTCAGCTTGTTGTTCAATGATATAAGCTTGCAATTAAATGAGAAGTACAAATACTAACACTTAGGTGCTGTACATCCCCAGCTGAGGAGTCTCAATTCGAATAAAATGAGATTCTTGAACTATACTGCTGGCCATCATTCTAATCTAATGAAATGATAAATATAGTTCCGAGCGAATTGTTACCCGACTGTAGTTACTACCTTGACTTAGTGGTTGGGCTTGCCTATCATGATGACCCAACCGAGCTTTGTTGTCTGGAACATATGTTCCTGAAGGTTCAACCATACCATGCAGGTCGACTGGAGAACGACTAGAGTACAAGCATCTACTCAAGGTCTGAGGGCAAAGTCGTGCTGCTGACTGTAGGGGGGTCTGACGGCAGTGAAGTGTTTTCCTCGAACAGCCAGCATCTGCAGCGATACTGCCTTCTCATAGGGAAGGAAGCAGTTAGAAAAGGTCGACCCTAAATATGTCAAACCTCAACTTACCTCATGGATTTTTGTCTCCGGTGGTAAGCTAACTCGTCAACTTACCAAGAAAAGGTCGTGCGTGACCGGCCCCAAGCACTTGTTCCTTGAGCTCTGTTGTCACGCTGCTTAGTCTCTAAGACCAACGCTAATATAACTTCATTTTCAGATTCTCCAAGAAATAACCTTCCACAGCGTGGGCAACCGGGAAAGGACATCCATCCTCGTACTCGTAACAGCACACGAGACCAAATAAGAGAATTGTTATAAAATCTAAGAATAAAGCTTATTGAATAACACGAATTTCGAGACTTAGTTGGTGGTAGAGAATGAATTTATAATTGCAACACTGTGATCGATTCTAGGCCTTGTCACCTATTGCTTTAAGGATGAGTACCAAGTTGTAGTGTGTACTAAGTGTCGAACGTACACGACTCGTCGGAGTTTTTGGACAAACCAATGAATTTACTCTCTGGTTGTTACTCACATGTTTTTTTACACTTTACAATTATTCGCCCACGAACTTGGTTGTTTTTCTTTGTGTGTGTGTATTGCTTACTTCGCGTATTGTATGTTAAGCTTATTTTGGTCTGACTATAAATACCTAAGTCATGCTTCATCACTTTAAGTTGACCCTCTAACCGTCGCCACTTCACTTTCCTTCACTTTGTTTTCACGCTCCACATTTTACTACCATCTTTTATGCGTATGCAATAAATAAGTTCATTATAATAAACGGTACTAGTGTGGTGCGCGCTACTTATAAGTAGTATATGACGCGTGTGTAAACGTAATGTCTGGCAGCAGAAGATGGGGAAAGATCAAGAAAGGAAGAAGAGTGGGAACACAATGGAATTTGTATGAAACGCACGAATAGTGAAATGTCAAACAATGGATTGATGATGGATTGAAGATTTGCAAATTAACGGTTACGATATGGTTTTCCTATTTTACTGGGTAACTCTGTAATTTTCGTTAAATACAATTCGGTTGCCCTCACCTGTGTTCTCCTTGACTACACTAGGCTTTTAATTAACGCCATCACCTAAACCGGATTCGCCTAAGAATGATAATATGGAAATCGGAGGGAAAATTTACTGCATAGCATATTCAATCGTTCGTACAAATTGAAGTCAGACTGTGTGGGCCATTAATATGTCTTTGTTTGGTCGGCCCAAATTTCACTCCAATCAGCATTCCTCATGTAATTTGAAAAATGCATGTAATCGCGACTGTCAATTTACTCAAGTCCTTATTATTATTAAACCTTAATATTAATCATTCAGCTCTTCCACCGTACATGAACAACAACGCTTTGATGACATGGATGACCAAATGTTTGAAAACCTTCGCATAACTTCTGCTCTCTTTTGCTGTCACACACATCTAAACTGATGAGATACTGTCGCATGTTAAACGAATAGTGCAAGTATCGATGACATAGTTCTATTCGGTGAAGACGCTGACAAAATACAGTTGTCTTCTGACCACTCTAAACGGTAATGCAAGCATTTTCGGGATGCAGTTTTCATCCTCGAAATGCAAAATAATGCTTGAAGATCGGGTTGTATCGGTACCTAAACTAGTGAGTGATAGGGAGTGAAGTAGTCGAGCGTGTTGATCACTTCACTTACCTTGAGAGTCTCATCAGTGCTGATGACCTGTTGACTGACCAAAATCTCAGCACAGATACAGAAGGCTCCATTGGCTTTTGTCAACTTGCGTCACTTATGGCCTGGGCGAGATATTCGTTTACTGACGAAAAGACGAGTGTCCTGCTCAGCAGTTCGCTTCGTCCTACTCTATGGCTGTAAAACATGGCCAGTGAGAATAGAAGATATTCGTAGGTTACTGATTTTCGATCATCGGTGTATTTGAAGCATGGTTCGTATATCCTGGGACACCCGAGTAAGCAATGCTGTTATTAGGAAACGGATGCTAGGTAAGGATGGCAGCTCAATAGATGAAGTATTGAAACTTCATCAGTTGAGGTGGTTTGGACATGTGTTGCATGTCCCCGACCACCGACTGCCTCGACGAGCTTTGTTTTGCGGTGTAGGGATATGTTGGAAGAAAGCTAGTGGTAGCCAAAACAAAACATGGCACAAATCCATGAAGTCAGTGACAAGTGGACTGAGTCATGTTGGTAGATGTAGGCTGGTTGTGGTCCGCGAGATGATAATTATCAACGGTTAGAGATCTTGAATGACATGGCTCAAAACCGTTTGCAATGGTGCAGGTGCATTCATTCTTTGTGTTCTCTCAAATCTTAAACTTTTTAACTGCTCATCACTTGATATTTCTAAGTTTATTTTACTAGATTCTGCTTCTTGAAAAATATCTTTTAGTCCTAATTTCTCCGATTACTTCTAATACCTTTACTATCTCTACTACTATGAGATTTGAATTGACAATTATATCTCTGTGCTAATGTGGTATGGCAACATGAACTGATGTATGTACGTATGTAGTTTTACGATGCTAGTGACTGATTGATTGAATAGTGCAAGTGTGAGTGGGTTATTTCGAGTAAACGAATCATTCATCCACACAAAGTGAGTGGGTTCGGTTCATCATAATAACTGTGACTAGTTGTTGGCAATGTCGGGTAACATGGCTCAGAATCGATCCTGTTGTGGCAAAGATGCATTTGCTCTTTATTTTACTCCATATTTTAAGCATCATTATTTCATTTATACATTTCATTGTTATGGAGTTTTGTTCTATGAGCTAGATGTTTGGATTGTGTACAGTTTTCATTGTTCTTCTGAAAAACATCATCAGCACAAACTACAGGTAGAAGTGAAGTATTCAAATTTCTCCACTAATGACTCGTAGCTTGTTCTGTTGACTTCGATCTTGATTGGTTGTTGTTGTCTACACCTTTATTTTGATTGTATCACCTTTTGATCTATTTCTCGAACCTAAATACATCTGATTCCTCATTTTCAAATCATACTGTCAATGTTTAGTCTTTCTTAAAATGCCACTTATCTTGTCGACTTGGTCTCATTTTAGTGATTTATTATGGGAACTTATGCCAACTCATTTTTCTTCGCCAGTATCTTTGTTGAATATAACTACATACTTCTTATAAACATGTATATTAGCTAAATTAGACGGGAAAACACAGTTTCACAACCGTTTAACAATATAAAGCAGATCAATGCATACTACTACTCACCTTTTAATCAATAAAAACTCTATAAACCTACACTACAGATGATGATAGAACTCATTCCTATCAACAACAAAAACTACCCAAAACTATCTTCAACATGATTTGTGAGAAATCCTGTGCATAGCCATACATTCCTAAATGGGGATGCAATTGTGCATTGCAAAGTTTCATATAGTCTTTCTCAACTTTATCATTGTTTTATCAATTAACATTGAACATATCCAATGTTTGCACAAACACTAATAGTTTTAAAAATGCAAACTAATCAAGTGTAAAATAAAATTGTCTAATTGAATAAATCATCATTTTATCTCCTTGAATTTGGCTATCATAAATGATAAACTAACTTAAATCATTAAAATCATGAATTAACCAATGTTAGATCATCAAATGAAAAGTTGAAAGTATTGGACTTCCATTTCTTTTTAGTACAGGACTCATCAATAATGTGTATCTACGACCTTGCACATAGGAATCTAACTTCAATCAATGCATGACATTGCCAGACCATCATTCATAGTCTTCGAGTCGGGAAGGTAACTAACTGCCTCACACACGATATAGTTGGACTACACTGGTTACGGCTTTCTCACTAAAACTCTGAGATGATAATAATCGATGGTTAGAGACCTTGAATGACATGGCTCAAAATCTTTCGCAATGGCGCCGGTGCATTTATTGTTTGTGTTCTCTCAAACCCTAATCTTCTGGATTCTTTAACACCTCTAGTTTCGACTCCCTAAACTTTTCTTACTGAATCATAATTCTTGAATAGTATCTTCTAACACTAACCTCTCCGATTACTTCTAATTCCCTTAATACCTCTACTACTATTGGATTTGAATTGACAATTATATCTCTGTGCTGATGTGGTATGGCAACATGACTTGATGTACTTGCGTACGAAGTTCTACGTTGCATCTGACTGACACTAAAACTCTGAGAATCGCTTCATGAAGCCAGTCAATAGTAAAACACATAATAATTGTCCGTATGATTTTATTTGAAATTATTGTATTTCATTTAAACCGTGAACTAATCGACTCTCGCTATCCCATATTAAAACGAAATGACCATCTAGTGCTTTCAGATTTTCCGGTGGTGGTCCAACATAGATCAGTTTATGATTTCAATCCAACTCACAACTCTCATACTAACACTTGTCTGATCATTCAATTTTGTAATAAAAGATTAGTTAAATAGATAGATACAACACAGAACTTCGTACGTACGTACAGGTTGCCATACCTCATTAGCACAGCGACGCAACTGTCAATTCAAGTCCCACAGTAGTAGCGATATTAGAAGTATTAGCAATATTTGAGAAGATTAGGGATCGGAGATATGATTCAACAAGTATAATTCAGTAAGATAATGTTAGAAAGAGAAAGACAGAGAGATGATGAGGAATTTAAAAAGACTAGAATTTCATAGAACACAAAGAGTCAATACACCTGCACCATTGTAAACAATGTTGAGCCATGTCCATAATAAAAAAATGTATTTTCATTGATTTCATTTCAGTAGATAATATAACTGTTTTTTCTTTCTCAACACATTATTATTATTGTTATTACAGGTGTTCCTGTCCTACATTTAATCCCTGTACCATTTCCAAAAGTATGGCATACAATCGACGATAATGCCAATGTAATCGATTGGGATACATCGATCGATTTATTATTTCTGATAGAATTATTTATTAGGCATTATTTACACATTCTATTGTGATATATATATGCATGCATGTACATGTATACTTGTACAGTTGAAGAATATAAAATCATTCTTTTTACAATATAACTACTGTATAAATACATTTTTTCAAAAAATAAAAAAAAATACAAAACACTTCCACACTTGTATTTACACAATTATATAAATTTACCCTGTATTGTCTAGGGCAATTTTACATTGGTTTTCAGGAGAACCAAAGAGACTGTACACATTTTACCATTGCTACATGAACAGTTCGGCTAAATCCTGTGGTGCAACCACACAGGTACCTGTACCCTGGTGGACCATTCCACACTTGTATTTACACATATTGTTAATGATAATAATGTGAAATGTTGTCAGTAATTTTCTTTTCTTCTCTAGAAAAACACAATTAATTTTGTCTTTTAATTAAACTAATAACTTATTTACTTATATCTGTTATTAGTATGCATTCACGTAAACACGTCAACTTGATATTGCTTGAACTATGACGAGTTTAACTTAGTCGGAAAACGAGAGCGAGGATCGGGTGACACGATATGCTATTATAATTCGAGTTTCTCAACCCTCATATTGAGTAAAGAAGAAGATTTGATATGAAGTAGAACTTGTATACTACAAGCATTCAGAAAGTATCAGGTTCGCGTCCAGAAGAGAATCAGGATCCCCGTCATAAAACGTTACGGATAATGCGTATTTATACATTTAGGTCGAATAGTAAAACAGCATGGAAGTCTGTGACATTGACAATTAAGTCGACTAGTAGGAAGCAACATTTGAAATGACATTGATAATCAGGACGACCGATAAGAAACAACATTAAAGTACATGACGTTGATATCTAGGACGACCATAAAATTGACCAGTAGGAATTAACCAATAGGAACTGACCAATAATTCTCTTAGGATAGTGGATGAATATCCTAACAGTTATCCCTTGTGGAGTATATAGGCTGCTCACTAGAATGCTTCAACTAATTCATTCTGTGTTCTCTGATCTACTGCTTTTCCAGGGCTTGCCGTTGAGTGATTTCTGCAATTTGTGTCCTGTCCACCCCCAGTGTTTCTTCAGAAACTGGGTTTTTTTTCACTGTCACAGTCTATTGTTTTTGATCATGTTTGACCAATACTTTTGTAATATCTTGAGTAGAAACATATTTAAAAAGTAAATTACTACGTTATTGTATTACACCAAACGTATGTGCAGTTATTATTAGTTAATAAAAATAATATCGTATTTCTGTCAGTGAATTGTAGTAATCTTATCATAGCTAAAATCGATATAGGTAGATATTAGTCCTGCTTAATTCAATCTTTTGTGCTACTGAATATCCATCAGTATTGTGGTGTGAGCTACTCATAAGTAGTATATGACGTGAGTGTAAACGTAATGTCTGGCAGCAGAAGATCGGGGAAGATCAAGAAAGGAAGAAGAGTGGGAACACAATGGAATTTGTATGAAACGCATGAATATGGAAATGTCAGACAATGGATTGAAGACTGGATAGATGCCGTATCCATTCCAGACCAGCGGGGAAGAACAATGACCGAAGTGATAATCTGGCACATTGTAGCGTGTCACGGAATACGGAAGGTGATATTAACTGACCAGAATCATGTTTTGAAAGTGACGAGTTTAAAGCCCGTCTAAAGCAGTTTGGCATCAACAGGATACGAACTACACCGTATCATCCGCAGATAAACGGGCTTACAGAGAGAAACAGCCGGACGTTAAAGGAATGGTTAGCATCTAAAGGAGGAGATTGGGAGAAAGACTTACGATTGATTTTGCTGATCCCAAAGTGTGAAGGACCGTACGTTATCACGGAGAGACGCGGCGCGGTTTACACGATCCGGAGAGAAGACAAGCAGACGAGCGTAAATACTAGTCAACTGCAGAGATGGTTTCAAGATTATCAAGTGTCACGAAAAGCACCAAAGAAGACAACGGTACGGCAATCAGAAAGACTACGACGACAGCTTATTAAAAGGGGGGACGAGTGTGGTGCGCGCTACTTATAAGTAGTATATGACGTGAGTGTAAACGTAGTGTCTGGCAGCAGAAGATGGGTGAAGATCAAGAAAGTAAGAAGAGTGGGAACACAATGGAATTTGTATGAAACGCATGAATAGTGAGTGAAATGTCAGACAATGGATTGATGATGGATTGAAGATTTGCAAATTAACGAACGGTTACGATATGGTTTTCCTATTTTACTGAGTAACTCTGTAATTTTCGTTAAATACAATTCGGTTGCCCTCACCTGTGTTCTCCTTCACTACAATATTAGGTTTGTGTTAATTTGTAATGTGGATAACATTCATATCGATTAAAAGTTGTGATGCAAATGACCTTGAACAGATTATTATTCCATGAATTTCATCTCAAATAATTTCTTTCGTTGTATCAAACAAGTTCTCTATGTTACTGACGATGTGTTTATACTTTTCATAAGTTACATAGGTTTATCTAAGTTATAGATTGAACTATACACATATGTAATATATATATATATATAACATTAGACCAATTTATGGAATAGAATACAGTCGAAATGAATACAAACCTTAGTTTTATTATATTTGTTCAATTTTCAATGTAATAGTATAGTTGTATATATATAATATTGATTTAATTTCTGTGTAACATTTGCTCAAGTACACACCGTTCTTTGTTCATTGAACATGTATTTTTTTGTACAAAACAAAAATAAAACGGTACGTTATGTTTTACAAGTGTACATAAAATCGATATAGAAATGAGTACATTTTCTAAAATAGTTGATAAATTTTAAAGGATGGTAGGAATTGGGTTTTTTTTCTTACTAAATCAAACTTTATGGTTTACCATAAAAGGTTTAATGTTCAAGTGTATTGATTGTAGTGAGGAGGCTTTTAGTTAAAACAAATACGAAAATATTTTCATTACAGAGTTGTGGATTTTGAGATGGTGGAGAAAACTTGTAGCTCAGGTGAATGATTGTGGTGGTGTTTCGTTCTCTGAGCTGGTTGTTTTGGTTGTGGAGCTATCAAAGACATATCGGAGCATACAGCAGGACTACTGAAACCATTTGGAATAGGTGTGGTACACAAATCAACAGAATCACTTCAATCGATCCTATGTAGACAAAAGGACAAAATGACAAAGGAAGAAAAACCAAATATCATCTACAAAATAAATTGCTCAAACTGTGAAAAACACTATGGAGGACAAAGTGGACGTCCTCTTCAGTTTCGACTGCGTGAACACCAATTAGCAGTCAAACGCCACGACAACACTTCACTTATATCAATACATACCGACAATTTTGGACACACATTCGATTGGAACAATGTGGAAATACTGGATAGGGAGAGGATAAAAAGCATTAGGGAATTTTTAGAAGCTTGGTACTCAAGTCATTTACCAATTAACAAACACATCGCGACACTGACCCAATTTATCAACCAGTTAGAAAAATCATAGACAGACATAGGATCAAGAAACAGATCCAAAGAGGGATACAATCAAAATAAAGGTGCAGACAACGACAGGTTTAAGGTCAACACCAACCCATCACCCTTGAGGTTAGCAGAACAAGCAACAGATCAAACATGGAGAAATACGAATACTTCACTTCTTCTATCTGAAGTTTGTGCTGATGATGTTGTTCAGTAGAAGGACAATGAAAGCTCCAGAACCAAAACAACCAGCTCAGAGAACGAAACATCACCACAGAGTTGTAGACTGTTGATTTTTATTGAGATCATAAATCGATCAATGTTAGGCCATGATTAGGAACCCGGTGGAGCACTAGATGAGCTTTTTGTCATGAGCAGTGCATTTCTATGATCCTGCGAGCGAAGATCAAATCGAGGACCTCTGATTTTGAGCACAAACACTTAACCTGTACTGATCGATTCATGCTCATCGGGGCGAAATGGCTATCCAAGGCTTTAAAGTTTCTAACTTGATACTAATACTTCCAGTACCTCTACTACTATGGGGATTTGAATTGACTAATGCATCTCTACGTTAATGTGATTTGACAACCTGAACTTATGTACGTATGTACAAAGTTTTACATTGTGACTGATTGATTCCACTGGTCACGACTGTTCTAAAAATTTCCTCATGAAACTAGTCACTAGTGAGTATGAAGACTATATCAAATGAACTGTAATTACAATTTCTAACTAAAGAATGTATCATAGTATCAATAAAGAATTATTTTAAATCATCAATCGTATGCTACGCCCTTCGTTAAACTTTTAAGTGAATTCTGCTTACAGTTACATTGTTTATGTCCAACAAATAAGCCTTTTTTCGCATTTCATAACTCCGCCTAGCTCTATTTACTTAAAATTAGGTCACTACTCATTGTAAACAATATTTTAACAGACGTCGTTTAAATTGGTAATTTAATTCAAAATGAGAAAAAAATAACAACTATCTTCAATTGTTTCCTAATTTTCACTTATTCTCTGACTTCTCATTAAACTAATGTGATGTGATCGTACAGTTTTGAAAATGCAAACGTTGAAAGAAGTTCATACAAATATTACATTGGTTATTGCTTAGTTGTCAGTCAACTAACTGTTTTTCAAACTATAAGTAACTCTTTGTAACAGATAAAATCATGATGTTTCATTATATATTTACGAATGATGAATTGATCAGTGTTAGACCACTTTTAGAAACCTGGAAGCACTGGACGATTAATTCTTTCAAGTTTGGAACTCATCAGCAGTGTGTATCCATGACCCCGCTAATGGAAATCGAACGACCGTCTTGTGCTTCCAAGTTTCTAATAGTGATTTAACAACGCTCGATCTAATGAAACTCAGCAAGCTTCACAATTGTATCATAAAAATCATAAAATGTGCTCATCAGTAACTAGCTTCGTTAGAAAATTCTTAGAGTTCTTGTGGGGAGTCGTGACTAGTGGAGTTCAACTCTGTCGGGTGTAGGCAGCTACCCACAGAAGACAGTGAATGAGTTCATGCAACACCGGTCCAGTGGTTAAAAGTTAAGCATTCGAGTACGAAAATGTCTGTACTCAGTTCGAATCCCACGTGCGATGATCGTGGGTGCGCACATCTGATGAGTCCAATGCTATGATGAAATGCCATCAAGGTTATTAATAATGGTCTAACAATGATTATTTCAATCAAAAATTATGGTTACATCACTTTGACTCATTTTTTGAACCTTCAAAAAAATTAACCGAGATTATATCGACCTTTCAATTAGAGTTATGGCGATTAGTGTTTGTTGTACATTGAAATCATCAATCAATAATTGTTAAACCACCATTAGAAACCTGGAAGAACTGGACGGCGGTTTCGTTGTGGTATGGGACTCATCAGTGATAGTGCGAATCCACTACTGCTGCACCTCGTGGGATTCTAACCGAGACCGTCGGTCTTGTGCACGAAA